ACAGCTTTTGTGAGTCCTGAGTCTCGTGAGAGTGAACTCATTGTAATTTGAGTGAGAATCCGGTTGTTACTGTAAGTATTGACCGACAAGCAGATGCTTTTGATGCAACCCATGACAAAATGTGTAATGCAATTCGTATTATGATAATATAAAGGGGTAAAATCTGAATTCTTAGCTTCTTGAAACATTTACAACTTAAATGAGCAGCCGCATGTGCCTTTGTATTTAATATAATTTTAGTACAAACCCTGACAGTGCCTGTTGGGCAAATATCAACTTTCGAACTGTTCAAGTATCAGCCACTGCATTATACGCTGCAGGTGTCGAAAAGGCCAACTGAATTCATTTCAATTGAATTTTATAATATTTTTGACAGAACACCTGCGTAAACCGAAAGGCTCTGGTATTATATGCGTAAATTGCGCAACGCCGTTTAAAAAGCCACTATATAATAATTACAGGGAATTTTAGCACAAATTTAAGGACCACTGGTTTTTAATGGTATACCTTGTTTGAAGAAACTGACACATTTTATTCCACCTTAATTTGAACTAATACAGTATAGCATTGACAAGCTGGGAAAAAGATTCAAAAGATTTTTGGTGAACTGCCGTACTTTCTACAAAAGTACATGGTATCTTACCTTGCAATCTTCTAGTAGGATATTAAGTTTATTCTATGAAAAAAACGCATCTTATTACATTTCTCTTGAGATGCTTAAATTTTAGTTTGGTTTCAAAAAACTGCTGGGAGTTTTGCGATGAAGGAGTGCTTCGGTGACTTTTTGAGCTACCCGAAATGACTATATTTTCGGAAACACCGGCCTTTATACTCTGCGGTATGCTATTGATTAACGCGAAATTCAGCGACGTGACGTCAAAGGAAGGCAGGCTTACATGTCATTCGGGAAGTCTAAAATTTAACTACGCCGAGCATTTGATTTGGGCTACTGCACCGGTGTTGGAGCCAGTTTCCATAGCATTCATTTGACGCCATGAAACTGCTTGTATTCACCCGAACACTAAGTCTCTAGTCCAAGGAGTGAACGGTAGCCTTGCTCTAACGTCACTTTTTTATTGTTGTCAGTACAAACTTTCACTTTGAAAAACACGCTTTGGATTAAAATTGTAAATTCAATACCTTCGCGAAAAAAAATAATTTGGCCCAATATTTGGGTTACAACTACAACGGAGTTTATTGGTGTGTTTAGCACAATTTCAGGTAAATCTGGTATTATAAAAAAGTCGCCGGAGTACCCGTTTAAATATCAGTTCGTCACAGGTGCGTATACTATATGCCCATTCGTGTGTTGCCACATGCATGTACTCTCTAAATTTTATTTTATATCTCCTGATGCGTCCGGTAGGTGTAGCTCATATTTACGCGCGTAATTTTTTTTTTTTTTTTGCTCAACTGGACCTGCGTAGTTTGGCGATTACAGTCTCCAACACACCCACTTTTTTGGCTTCCTGCTCTGCGGGTACGATCGCTTAGGTCCTGGAGAAAAAGGCAAGCCTACAGTATTCTGCCTGAAGAAAAATGGTGCCCCAAGAAAAGTTTTTCCATTATATGGGGTTGAAATGTTTGGAGTTTGAGATTTTATTCAATAGCACAGATTGGCCGGAAAGCACCGGGTTTCGCCTTGGGGAAAAAATGTTTGCTCTGCTGCGTTCTGATCGTGGACTTTCGTTTTCTTCGGGATGTGTGGTTCTGCTCGGCATTGCAATCGTAATTTGTCGCTCATGGCTGCTCGCAAAATTGATCCTTCGCCCGAATCTAGTTGCCTTCCGAAGGAAGACAAAGTTAGCAAGCGAGCAAACTGGTTTAAGCCACATATCTTTTAAAACGGAGACGACGGCAAGAATAATAAAAAGCGCACGACACACAATAGAACACGCAATACCAATCGTATTGTGCGCATTTTTTTTGGCAATCCTTCGCCTCCAGATTAAATTATGCATTCAGAAAGTTGCGCGAGAACGTTCGACCAAAACCAACGTTGACAATCTTTAAAAATCGCGTGCAATGTAGTTTAATGGTCTCCCCCAAAGAACCACCATAATAATAATAATAATAATAATAATAATAAAAATAACTCGTCCAATTTTTTTTATTTTAAGGTTATATTCTTGTAAAAACAAAAAAAAACGCGAAAAAAACATAATATGTTCTATTAAATTCAGACATTTTAAGGCAAAAACAGTATAAACCAGTATACTTCTAAGTATATAAAATTATTTTATAAAAATCCCAAACTCAATCTGTTCTTTTTGCCTGCCAAAACGTTTGCAACGCAGGTACTTTACAAAAACAATGTTCTGGTTAAATGGGGCGATAGTGATAAAAAATAAATACCTCAACCAAAGCCCTAAAAAGCGTTGAAACGTTTAGAAACCTGCGCGGTTTCTTTTTAGGGGTGAGTGAATTGCACAGAAAAGCTGCAAGGGCCCTCAGCATCTCTCGTCTTCGGTAGTCTGCAAATAACTTTTTTTTTTTCTACAGAGGCTGTCCTTCGTTATTAACGCGATGACTTCAAGAAGCTCTTGTCGCAGAAAAGCAGGGGTCGGTTACGTCGTGATAGAAAGATCCTGATTGGTCGATAGGGTCACGACGTCACAGCCGGATGACCTCGCGCGGGAATTAGATGAAACCCACAACGCTCACGTGAATTTCGACTTCACGCGTGGAATGACAGTCATTAAAACAAGACATGTAATGCAAATTAAAGGTCACCGCTTGTCTCTAATTATTTCACTTCATAAAGTGTTTAATTTGGGTTAAAAAAAATATTTAGAGTTTTAGGCAGGATTCGAAACTACGACCCTTCGGTCTCGAGCCAACACATCCATTGACTTGATCACGCAGAAACGCTTGCACGGTTTCGGAACAAGCAGGAGTTTATAGGTTCAGCTCTCGCGATCCACTCTTAAAGGCGAAGCTTAATCATCCTCCCAGTATTTGTCCTTGCAAGGTGGCGTAGGCTCTGAGCGCCAACTAATGACAAGGCTCTCACGGCACTGTTTAAATTTAAACCCTATTTTTAAAGCCATTTTAACTTCCGTCGTGTCCTTTAAGGCTGGTTGATAGCCACGTCTCCAGCACCACCTTTGCGGCACCTCATTGTGGCATGAAACACAAAACACCCAGAACCCTCTTAATTCATACTTTCAAGAGCTAATACTAATTCCCTGCCAATTACCCGTTTGAGCCTAACAAGTTCGGGAGAAGGATTAGATCAACCAGAGGTCGCGAGGTGGGGCATCACGTTGTCTCGTGGCACGAGCAACCTTTTTCTATCCAGTCCCAAGTAAGCTTGAAAATTAATAATTAGTGCGGCCGTACAAAATTCTAAACTAAAATGGCTATTTTCTTAACGCGTCAAAACTTGATGTTGCAGTTCGGCCTTTGATGGCGGCTCGGGAGGATTGCACATATCTCGTGCATCATTAAGAAAACCCTACAGTGAATAGTATATGCGTATTATCAAAAAACTGGCTGGTTCACCGCCATAACGGTTGTGAAGTACAAACATATTATACTCAATGACGCTAGAGAAATGCCTATCGCATTCTTTTACTTCTTTGATACGCCATGACAAGAAAATATTTTTTTTGATTCCCGACCCATTGTTTTGTTAGAGATAAAATATCATTATTAAATTTTATTGAAAGTTTTTGTTAAATAATTGGATACGAACATCTAGAAATTAGATCTTAAATAAAGAAACAAAAGACACAAAGAAGCAACTGGATTTTATACTTAAAAAATTTAGTAGCGTGAAACTGCGTAATTACACTGTAAAACATTTGCCCTCTTTTACGGAGAGATTCTCTGGCACCTATGCTAGCGTAAAGGTCATCCGTAATCCTAATAACGGAAAGATTCTTTTAAATACGTACACAGTCCGCAAATAAAAGGACGTTCCGCAAAACAGATTACGGAAAGTGCTCTACTATCCGTAAGGATATTCAAGAGCTGTCCGTAAAATAACGAACTGAATTATGCATTCCGTAAAACCTATTACGGAAATTGTTCTAGTATCCGTAAGGGTGTTTAAAAGTTGTCCGTGAAAGGGCAAACAGAGTGGGCTTTCCGTAAATGATATTACGGAAAGCACTCTTGAGTATCTGTAATCCTATGCGGAGCGGAAGCTCGTCTGCTTCTTGCACAGGGGGTTGTGGTGATGTCAGAACGCGGGGCTCTTATAGGCTGATTGAACAAACAAAGAAATAGTGGGTAGACCTCGAGGTGTCTAGCATTCTGGTCTACCCCCTATATCCTTCCAATCAAAGCCAATGAGATCTCGGCACCATTCTGACGTCATCGTAATGTCTGCGCAAGAGGCAGACGACTCGCTCTCCGCATGGGCTGGTGTCAATAGAAAGGTGGGCTGTAAATCGAGCTAGCAGAATCAATGCCTTCATTCAGCAAGCTTAACTTATTATCAGGGGTTTTCGTTTTCTGACACAGATTACCGTCAAAAACTTTAAGGTAAAACTCCATTCTGTGAAAAGATGAACTACGTTATTTAGAGTTTTGACAATGGGCACCGATGTATACAAGTGAGTCGTGTTGAGTGCTCTTTTCGAGAGGTGCCGCAACGTGTTGTGTAAAGCAAGCAATACAGCTGGGCAATGCATTTGCATCAAGTTTCCTCAATGTCAGTTTTTTTTTCTTCTGTTGGTTCTGGCGTTCTGATCAAGGTACAGAAATATTAAATGTAGTGGGATTACAAACATTATTTGCCGTTTCATCGACCACTGCATTCATTGCATTTTTAAACGGAGATATGAAGCACCTTCTCAACGACACCAAACATAACTTTCAGTCATCTGCGTCGGCACTCATACTTGAAAATAGAGAATGCTGTTTTCACATTCCACAGAGACGAAGCTATGCTTTGACATGTCACAATAGTGTTGACTGCTAAAATAGACCTTTGGTTACAATATGAGCTCAATGCTTGTAGGAGCAGATTTATCCAGTTCATTTTACATTTCTCATTCGTTGACCATGCGGGACTCCTTTTTGCTGGTGATCAACTTCAGTTGCAAAGTCTTGATGAGGTCAATGTCAAAGATGGCTGACTGGAGAGCAATCGTTATATTTTTGCTTATTTTGTGTTCTGGCTTCATTGAACCTCCGTTTTTTCAAATGAAAATGAAGGTTTAAACTGGTTTGAAAAAAAAACAGTTTAAAAGTTTCAGACTACGTTGACCGAAGTGTTGGTCTAGATTGATGTCGGAGACAAATTTAAGGAAGCGAACATCCCGTTACATAAACCACCATGTAGCCGTCTTCACGTTTTATAACTTTTATTTTAACCTTCAAAGATAAGTTCACATCTTTATAAAAAAAACTCGGCGTTTTACATTTTGAGTTACTCGTCGACCTCCTCGACTTGTAGCAACCAAGAAACATCACACTGGAAGTTGAAGTCAGGTTTGGAGTGTATAGGAAGCGGACAGTGCTATTAAGTGCTCTGTAAAGAAAATACAAGTGTCAATTTTGAATGTCATGTTTAATTACAGGTGAAAGAATTGCAAGTTAACATGACAAACCTATCTTATAGTTCCTGGCGTTATTGATTGACTGCATTGACACTTATAATAATGCAGTTTAAGAAGGCCATTGGTTATACAGCATTACGCTAAAGAAAAATTTAGAGTGTTATTTTCACCAAGAAAAAACTACGCATCGTAGAATGCTCAATCTCAGCTCATATATATCGCTAGCGGTTCTAACCGGATGCCAAAGTTTTATAACAATACGTGATTTCTCGTAAAATGTATAAGCATATCATTTTTTAAATGGAAATGGGAAATCGTAGTTGGTTTTCGACTGTTTTGCAGCTCCAATTAATGAAACGTTTTTTCGGCCGCCATTTTACCAATAATTTTTTTTATAAAATAATTTTAACGTTTTTATAAAATAACGGTTAGTTTCGAATCTTTGGCATCTGCTTTGTACCGTTTGGTTTACGTTTCAATGGAGAATGGGCGTACGACGATCCTTATTTTATTTTTGTGGAGAAAAAAACATGTAAGATTTGTCAGGGACATTTTGTATTTCAGTAACGGAAGCTAATGTCTTTATCTCTAAGAACCTGTATAGACCTCTGATTGACGCTTTAATCTAAAAGGTTCAGATGACGATTGCACGTGAAAATATTTATGACGTATTACTAATAGCCATGAATTTGTTGATCCAAATCCAGTTAATATATTTTGCCAGTGCCAGTTTCTGCGCCGTATTATTGTTGTCAATCACGCTTGCATAGAGAATGGCGTCCTATACTGGTTTCATGTAGCAGTCTACAAAAACTATACTACTAAAACGTTGTGCAGACATACCTTGCAATCACCATAGAAGTTTAGGACACCCAGCAGGGAATCTAGCTCAGCACCGAACTGGGTGTTGTTCCCCTGTAGTTTTGTCAGTTCTGTGACTATGAAGCAGGCTGCTCCCCTGTACACATCTCCTTCGTCCAGTGCGTCGATGTTTGACACCAAACACTGGAGCGACAGGGCCAACAAAAATGAATATTAAACATACATAATGCCTAATATGAATAAAAACGTAATGCGCTTTATGGGGTAGTTTCTATATTTTTTTATTTCCAAGCATCCGCAAATATTTTTGACAATTGTGTTATGCAATGCAGAGTGAAGGAAGGCACAAAGCAAGACATAATTATCCTGCGTATGTATATTCCTTCACAAGTTCAATGGGGGCGAATAACTGAAACGCACGTTCCTGACAAAAAACAAAACAAAAACTTTAAAATTTTAGATACTGCGTGTGTTTTCACCAGCGATTGCTATCACCATTCGAAGCTGCAAATTGACGAATTTCGCTGATTAATAGGCGGGGGAACAAATACAACATGTACAAACAATAAAAACACGACAAAAATAAAAAGACAGGGGTGCGCAAACGCGAGCCGAAACACAGCCCTCCGAATTTTAATTTGATTTCTTTTTGTGTTTCAACGTATTGAAACATATAATATTCAAAAAATCAGCGCTGTTATTGCGGGAGTCCACATTGCTATCAAGTTTTAAGTATTACTTTCGTAGAAATCACTTTTAAAAGGGCACTACGATGGATTTCGAGATCCCTTTTTTTGGCTGAGACTGAACCTATCTGCCCTAAGTTTGGTTGAAATCCTTATATTACAATCATGCATGGTTATTTTTTCTCATAACAAATGCAGCCAAACACCGCGACACGCCCTTTTTTGACTATCTCAGTGAGGAGGCCTTTCGCGGTGCTTGGTCGTGTTTTTAGTAGGTGCTCATTGTTAGCGTAGAACACACACTTGGGTAAAAGCAGAACTTAGGTTATGATTTTTTGTTCAACTGTAGCTGTAGTTTTTGAATATCATCTCTTCGCGTTCTCAGCTGAAACAAAAACGAACAAAAGTTTAAGGTCATAATCTGGAAACACCCAGACCAAGCGAATTTAAGGGAACTTCTTATACCACGACAGTTCCATGACGGTGATAACATAACGCACACATTTTTATATATTTTAGGTTTATATCGTTACAGATGTCCCTGTCTGCCAGTTTATATAAATGATTTTGTCGCACTTAAAAAAATGACGACGTATTTTTTTTAGTTTGGTTATTGCAAAGCGTAGAAGATTCGTATAAAGTTTCGTAGGCCTAAGGTTATCTTTATAAAGCTCAGCATGCCTCTTTCTTTTAAGCTAGGCTCTATATGGCACGTCCAACAAACGGTTTTGAATGAAACAGAGCGAATCTTTTAAACCTTAAATGATAAAGAACAAGTGTGATATGCTTGCTTTGGTGCATACAATATTAGGCCTTTAAAGGAAAGTAGCCCTAGGAGACCACCGTATAATTTCACAACACAAGTAATTGTAGCGGTTAGCTTGTTTCTAAGAAGAGTTTCACCTCGAAACAAAACACAGTCTAGAAATCAACAGTGTTCCGCAAAAAACCAGCTCCGGAATGCCTAACATGGCATTCAAGTTACAACGCTTGTGCCAATCAAAAGGGCTACAATGTGATGTGCATCAAGATTAGCTGCGGATCTGAACAAGTATTATTTTCAAGCTACACAAGGATTAATAAAAGCTATTACACACCATTCAATTTTCCCATACACACTATTTAAAATTATTAGCATCTTCAGTGTTGGCATATACTTTTAATTGTGATGCGAGTCTTTTTGTAATTGATTTGATATTGTTTATGTTTGATTTGTTTACTGTTCTAGACAACTAAAGCCAACTTCCTTAGGCTGGCTTCTTACCTTAATAACTGAAGTCGGTTCGCTTCCGAAGTTCACCTGGAGAGAAATTTTGAACACGGGAAAAACTGGAGTAAATTTATTCTCCAAATATGCTCGTTAAGTATAATTTTAAATGATTTAGGAGAACGGTCCTTCCAAAAGTTCCTACAAAATATAATAATTCAAGTCATTAGGCTAACCGGAATATCAACGTTATCTTTTCGATAAGTTTTATTTTACTGGGTTAGTGCCTTTATTGTGTTACACCTGTTGAATTAATCCGGGGCGCAAGTTTGTCTGCTTCTACTTCAGGGGTTGGAGAGACGTCAGAACGTCGAGCTCTGATTGATTCTGATTGGAGGATAGTGGGTAGACCTCAAAACAAGCTGTATTGACGTCTACCCACTATCCTGCAATCAGAGTTAATCTTAGCTTGGTGTTCTGATGTCGTTACAATCCCTTCAAAAGAAGCAGACAAACTTGTGCTCCGTATTGACGAATAAATAACTATTTCAACTAGTGTCATGGCGTGAGGTGCACTTTATCTTTGCCATTTGCTTTTATAAGCCTAATTTACAGACAGTTTCGAGAAGTAATTTTCAGTCGAGAAATGGCAAGTCCTCTTCCCAAAATAATATATATATATATATATATATATATATACATTTTTTTTCTATCTTGTTATTGCTGCTTTAACAAATATGGCAATGTTAAAGCTTTGCCTCTTTTACAAATCCTTTGTCCTCAACTCCTTAATTGAAATTTGTGGGTTTCGCTAAACTAGCGAAACCCACAAGTTTCAATTATTTATAAAAACGCTTAGAAACCTTCAGCGTTCTGAATGCATTTTCGAAATCACAAGAAGTAATTATGAAACATATATGTATCAAACGACGTACGCTGGTGGCATCCTTCCCTTGGCAGGAGTTCAGGCTGCACTGTAAAACGTTGAGAAAAATATCATCAGATATTTATTTTTTGACCATTATAGAATCCTATTTTAATAATTCTGAAACCCTTTGTACTTTGCGACAGAACATGTCAGTTAATTTTCATGTTCAACTTTTAACTTTTTTTTCTAGTGCGTACCACCGAACCTTGCATATAATAAAAATAACTATTTTACATTGCAAAGACCAGGAAACCAGGATGTCAAAAAGAAATTCTATTTACGTCTTTTTTAGCATCTTGTGGCACGTTGACTTGCACTGGAGTCGAGCAAGTTGCGTCCGCAAGAGCGGGAACCTGGCAGAAACTCTCACTTTGGTGACTGTCGCAGTAATGGGCGAGTGTTTCAAGGCTGTTCACTGCATCTAGAATCAGAAAAGGTATAGCAAGCACATCAGCGAAAATTCACATTTATTCTTTTATTTCATGGCTTAGGATCGGCGCAGATACTAGAGTTTGAACAATTTTGTTCATATACTTTATTAATCACTGGAGCAGTTCGGCATTATTTTAAGAAGAGTCTATTTATGACGTTCCTGGATATCCAACATCAACGTTACCACTAATGAAGTAAAAATAAAAAAAAGACAAGATCTTTTACCTGTCACATTTACGAGGTCAGTGAATATGTCAGCAATCAAAGGTTCCAGGTTGCTGAACAGGTACCCATTGTAGCCAAGACTTGCTAATCCCTTAACGGTGCACTGCAACAAAAAAAACCATGACGTATACGTACACTTTAGCGATTAAGCTACGTTGCAAGTAGCTTGCACAAGTCTCCTTTCGCTGCGTAATAAAATATAGCAGTCACTTCAGGGGCCAATCGGCTCTCTTGCGTCGCGCCCTGGTGGTGGCGCTCGGGCGCACATCCGGTCTGCAGTATGTACAAAAGACGCCATGCGGGCCGGGAAGTGAAAAGTTGTTTTCGTAGAATCCAGTAGAAACGTGCATTCTCTCCAGGACACATTACACTTTTGTACATTCCGTCCTACACTGAAAGCGCTCGGAAATGTGTCAAAATCAGTTTTAACAAGTTTTATGCCTCCCCGATCTGTTTAACAACCGAATAAGAGTCGTGAAAAAAGAAAACTCGACTCAGCCAGGCTACAATCTCCTGTACGGGAAGCTCTTGGAGGTGAATGCACGAGGTCTTGTCGTAATGCTCACTTCTATGAATGCGGAAGAACCGTCAACCGGTCCAGACAAACCGGACAATATTCAGTGCGTTCTGCCGGTCAAACGGCCATCCGCACGTTCAAACAAGTCTTCCCATTCAATTGACAACGGCCCGTAGAGCATTTCTAGTTTATGGGCGCCGTTAACACAATAACTTTGATACAAAATGCATTGTAGGAAGATAAATACTTGTACAGTTGAAGAATGGAATGGCCAGCATCGGCAGTGACAGGAGCAAGTAGACTAATAAACATTATAGTTCCTGTTTTTACATAAAGGTACTTTGTTGTTTTACTGCATTATTGCTTGACTCCCAAACAAAATTCATACTTCGTGTTCTCATACGTTTTCCTACTACAACACACCATATGCACACAGGCAAAATGTTATAGCTAAAAAACGTGCAGGCTTTCGAATAAAACTCATCTGTTGAGTACATTTGGTGATGCTGTGTTCACTTACATCAACGAGCTTGTTCATGTTGCTGAGTTTCTGTAAAAGAAACAGCGCGTTAGGTTGGACTACTCGCTAGAAATATTTTTGTTATTATATTTAGTTTGTCTTTAATGTTTTATTACGCATAAAAGTCACTTCAGTCATATCAAACTGAACCCATTCGCCAAAGGTGGACGTACCCAATGCATAAAGTTCCAGTGATAGCAAGGATTTAGTAAAAGCGTCAGGTAAATTAGTTCAGCCTTTTTTTTCTCCTTGGGAAAGAAACACGTTACATAGGTCGCGATGATGTCATTTTAAATTCAGGCGAAATTTGTACTTTAAAGTTCGATTACATAAATAATAAATGAAATGTCTATATATGCTACGTAGCTAATATTACTGGCTCCATCTGATTATTGTTTAGTTGTTTTGAACTTTAATACTTGATTTTAGTACTTACAGTGGAGTCGAGGATTGCACAAAGATTAATATTTGACCCTGCACACTGAAATGACAAAAACAAATATTAAGTTGCGATTTTATAGAAGTGTGCAAAAGAAGGTGGTACGTAAGTAGACTAATGTTTTGCTGAAACCGGTAGTTCAGTGTAAAGTTTTATATATATATATATTGAGTATATTTAAGCAATTAATATTTCATAAAGAGTCCTGGTTACGTTGACTCTAGCTCATGTCGTGTATAATAGGATCATCCTACATTATATAAATGATCGGCAAACAGATCGTGATAAGGCAACAAACACAAAAACTTTTTTTAGGAACATCTCACATCCCGTTGCCCTTCTACAAATTGATAAGTTGGTTACGCCTATAAATATATCAACCTTTAATAGTGCCACTGCAGCAAAACTCATAAAATTTATACTTAAATCATTCGTTAATGAATTCTATCAAGTTCGAACGAAAACAGTTAATGCGGTTTTTTGGCATTCATAAAAAACTAGGTATTAAAAAAGCCGAAACTTCGGCTAAATTTGGCCCTATTAAAAGGGATAGGATGCAAAAGTTTGATAACATGACACTGCCTGGATTAAAATATAGAAAATATATTTTTCTATGAGCCTATGTCTACATAAACTTAATTTTGTCAGAACAGAAAAGACACTGTGGCCGCATGCGGCATTTGTTTTACTAAAACAAACTTGTCAGCAAAAACAGAATATTGTTTTGTTTTTTGATGATGAGCTTATTTAGTGAAATAAGCACTACAGGCACCCACAATGTACTGTCTTGATTTGACAAAATTAGCCTTAGGTAGAAGTCACCTGATAGACAGATATCTCATTTTCCTTTTAACTGTTGGTCCAGAGAACATTATGTTTTTAAACTATTTCATCCAACCGCCACTGCTAGCGTCACATTCTAACAAAAATTATACTTTTTTTTATTATGTAGACTATTATTGCGGCCAAAACACCGGGTTTTGTTTTCTTGGTCGAACCCCGTAATTCAGAAGGCCACTTATTAAGATGATCACGCCATATATAGACCTTTTTCACAAGGGCGCCGCCATCTTGAAATATCGTCGCTTCCAGTATGGGCGAAAACATTGCTTTAACGTCGCCACGCCAATAGAATGCATTTAGGAGATAGGCGTAACCATCACCCATTCTCGTTTTGTCTCCCCTCTATTTTTTTACTATTTGGAGGTTGAAACGTTTTAATATTTTTTCGTCGCCCATACCGCATATGCCTACTTGGCGGTCGGGGGCGAGAGTAAGCGGAAAAAGGGCTATAGTTCCTCCCAAGCCCGGTAAGCAGATAGAGAAATCGGTATTTACTTAACAAACATTCATAATAAAACAAATATTCGATTCCGTTCAAAACAATCACCCAGTATAACAATATAATTGAGACGCTAGGTTTATTCATTATTAGTACAAGTTTCAAGATGAATCTAATGATTAAATTTGCGATTTATTTCAAGCCAGTGCACGGAAGCCCAATATTTATATTCCGTATTGTGTAGACAAAATTCGGAAAGTGATTCTGGCCTATATTTGTGTAAATCTTACTGCTAGCACGCGCCGCTGTGACACTAAAACTCTGTAGAACGTGCAAAATATAAAGGTCTCGCCAGTGATTTTAAAAACTTCCAAACAATTAGGGCCTATAGGCGTATAAAAGTTCAATATAACGCTTCCTGAAATTTGTTCTTTGTTTTGTGTGTGTGTGTTTGTTTTTCATGAGTTAAAGTTATCCTCTTGTCAACTGTAAGAAGTAAAATCAAAGTAAAGTTTGACTACTTGCTTCAAATATTCCATACGCCGTTGGAAAACCGAGGTTTGTGCACCTCCCTGAAAGGCAAAAGGGTTACATCACAATTACCGTGCGGTTCGTAAAAAAGAAGTAAAATTCTGTGGCTCGATCTTGTTTTGAAAAAGAGGAGTTAACATATACGTCGAGTAAACCAAAATCACAGTTGTACATTGATTTTTTAATTTTAATAATTGTAGCATTTCAACAGTCCATGCCGCTCCAGTCTACTAAGTCTCTTCCGGTTGAATTTCCGTAGAAAAACTATATGAGCTCACATTATTGGCCGGCGAAAAACGATAATGTATCGGAAGCTGGTAAGATATTCAACTTTCTGCTGATCATTCGTTTGTTTAATTCTGTTCTTAGGGCTTCCTTGTTAGGCTCTCAAAAGAAATGACCGAATGTCGATTCTCGAAACAAAATTATTTCCAAAAACTCCTCGCAATTTTAGCGTTTCCGGAAATGCAGAGGCAACAGTGCCAACAGTTTAATGTCTATGAAACTATGAATAATACCTACAATGTGTAGACTTATTCCTTTTCTAAGAATTGATTTCGAGTGAAAATTAGTGTTTCAAACGGGCAACTTTAGTTACATCTTGACAAGACACATCTAACTGATGATGCACGACTGAGTCAGTCTCCAAACTCCATAACGGTATCGTGAATGAATTGGATCAGATTGATTTTCTAGTAAAACACAAGTGTAATGTGCAACAATTCCCATAAACGGTACTAGTTTAACGTGAGCCACTGATTTTTATATTTATTTAGAACACAATATTTTCAGCGTCGCTTTCCTTTGGATGTAACAGCTTAGTGGTTGAAACACTTGTTATTGAGAGTCAGGTTCCATGATTTTCTGCCATGTTACTATAAAGTCGGGAAATATCTTAGACTTACCTGCCGACACAGGCAGGAAAGAAGCGGAGATCCACGCAGTGCAAAAAAGCAGGAGCGCTGTTGAAGACACCATGTTGCCTGAATAGTCTGCAGCGCTGCGTAAACAGACTTATATACGATTCACATATATTTTATTGGCAGCCGGCTCTCATCAACGCAGGATGTGAGACAACTAAAAAAAGAAGTCCTAAAGCCAGTTCACCTTTTTCAGGGATTCACTGATGCGTTATTGTTCGTCAGTATGCCGCACAGCTTTACTCAGAAGCTCGCATCCTTCGTTCAAACAGTACAAGCTGTCGCCCCCCCCCCCTCCCCACCAAAAAAAAGAAAAAATGTAGAGGTTTTTTTTCGCTGCAAAAATAAAATATGGATAGCCGAACGCGCATTATCTGCCAAAAGATAGCGCTAAAATTCAGAACTAGATGGCAAAATATCCACACGAATCGACATTAGTTTTTTTTAAGTTATAAGTGATTTTTTGGAAAGTCAATGGCAAAATGATGCCCCCTTTTTGCCCGTTTTCGGTTTCCGGCTTTATAGAGCGTCATGTATTCGAGAGCCCCGTCGGGCACCATTTCCTCATTGACATTTTCAGAAAATCATTTAAAACGTTTGAATAAAATATCAGTTCGCGATGAAACTGGCATTCCGTTTGGACCTCTAGTGCAAACTTCGGACGGAGAGTTAGCGTTTGGCGATGCGTAGTTTGATGTTTGCTGTGGAAAAACATTGCGAATGTTTTTCGGGACACCCTGTACTTCTCTTAGGGGAAAAGTGTTTTCTACTAGATTTCGCTTTAAATGATAGACATTGTATTAATAAACTAATTTCCCAGGCTCACGATCTTTTATATGCAAGCCTCCAAATACACTAAAAATACACTTTTTCAAACAATTGTTTTAAATACACTGTATATATAAAATATACGAGCACATGAGGGGTAGGACAAAGTAGGTGTAGAATATCCTTTTGAGAACTATATATGTCCATTCCCTGAAGATCATGAAGACGGGATTGACTCATGCGAAGTCTCGAGAAAACGGGTAGTTAAAAAGGAACGTAAAATAAGTTGGTATAAATCCGGAAGCCTTAAGAACCCAAGCGTCTTAATCTTATGCATGTAATTAGTGTATATAATCCTTTTTACCACCTTCCCTCCTAACGATATTTAACAGTAGGTGACTAACAAAAAAAAAACACAAAGCGCAATTTTACCGTATGATTGACATATCAACAATTACCGCAAAAAAGAATGGTGGCTTCTGTATTGTTTTTCCCCGACACAATGTGGCCATACGCTGACAGATACAAATGACTATGGAAAAGTATAACTTTCTTTTTCATAAACGCAACTGTTGTAAAAACGGGACCGAATTGTGCACTTATGAATAAAATAATAATAAAAAAGTAATTTACCAAATGTGCAGACTCGTGATTTATTGTTTCTGTGACTATTTATAATTAAATTACTTATGAATAAATATTTCTATTACTGATTTCGCTTTAGTACTGCAGCAGTCTGACTCCCATGTCGGCATAACCAGCCGATTTTTTTATTCAATTTTTTTGACGAAAAACTGGGTCTACTCAATCGTTCCTATAATTGTCGGTATCGCATTCAGTCGGTCAATGCCTACGATTTTTTTAATGTTCAAAAGGACTAATTTTACAATATCCTATTTTGAACGCTTCTCACTGTGAAGCTGACATATTTTCTAACAACGCAAGCTGGGTCTCCTGAGCAAAATAAAGGAGGTACCAATGGACACTCCCCAAAACGAGCTGAAAAAGCGCAGAAGGACCATGAAAGCAAGAGCGCGGCGCCACTGTGGCACATAATAATTCTTTTCCGCATTTCTGGGTGTATTTTGATAAATCTGGCTTTTGGGTTTTTTTATTATTTTTTTCTGGCCCTACCAGAACTTAGCCCTCGCTTCAGTGCATCCAGGCTGACAATATTGTTGCCGTCTAAAAGCGTTCTTCGCAGGATCAGAGTGTGTAAGATATCCCTGGCGCAGTTCCAAATTCCGTTTTCTTTTCTTCGAGCTATTTCAGTTTCTCGACGTAGAACGCGAGGTGTGATCCAAATATTCTGAGCTAGTTTCGTCACGCAAATAAAAAAAAAAATAACATTGTGATGCGCCTGAAGCTGTCAAAAGCTGGGACCTTCATGTCTTGTTATGAGAAAGGGCGTCGTTCTGTGAAAATTCGAAGCTACACGAGCTTTTCTGACCACGCGCGCGAGAACAATGGCAATCTCAGCAATCTCAGTCAGATCAAAGAGCGAGCATCAGTTCTACGTCGATCTCGGCAAACCTAAATCCAACGTTACTAAAACACTCCGTTGGGAAACTCACCCTTAAAACCTGGACCGCTAGCATCCACCAAGACCGAACTAAATACGATAACAGCGCCACCCTTTAGCAACGAGTCAAAACATGAAAGTTGCTTTATATAGCTACTGCGAGATGGCCCTGCAAGACGGCGCCACCAGCCCTTGCGAGACTTGACCTGAACCAATACGTGCAGCCGTGCAGTTCCCGGAGTTGCCACTGCGGGAGAAACGGCGGCGTTGCGATCGCCATAAGTTCAGTTCTCGAGTACGGATCGGAGCTAATTTTTCAAATCAGGCTCTAATGGCAGTTTCCCACCTGTGTATTTTAGTAACGTTGCCTAAAATAGAATCTTTGAACGCTATTTTCTTATAAGCTTATTGCGAAAAAGCAGTGAGACGCGCGAGATGATTTGAGTATCACTCGCACTTCAAGACTGGAAAAACGTTACTGTAAGGCGAAGAGAGATCGGGGAAGGTCCCCTGCTTCTCTTCGTCTAGCAGTGATATGATTCCATTTTTTAGGCCCGGGTGGCACACAAATTACAAAGCACGCCTCGTTTTTGTTGTTGTTGTTTTGTTTTTTTGTCATAAGCACGCCGAATTATTTCAAACGTCATTGTTCCAGATTTTCCGAGTTTAACGCAGGACTTAAGTGCGCTCTTGCTCTGTTTTGGAGTCCACACTCGGATCGCAATGGTTCCTGGGGCGGGGGTTTAAAAAAGGCTTTGCAACTGAATAGCTGGGCGAGTTGGTATGCATTCATAATGGAACAGCGCGAATGTTTGAAGGACAGAGGAAGGAACTGGACAGGACGAGCGCTCACTAACAACTGAAAGGTTTATTATCAGGAAACCACGAAGAAACAGACAACAACACGACTCTCTAATCACGATGAAAATGCGCATGCGCCTCACACGATTGGGTGCTATCCGTTACACAATTCTATATTCGTCATCCCTGATCTAAAAATTCTACCTCACTGTCCAGCAAATTCGAGGAAGTCTGACTCACGCAGGATGGCCCCTCCTTCTTTATTCTATGAGCCTCGACAATCTCTCGAGCTTTTTGGTCCCTGTGTTTATACAAAACAATGGCCTTGTCGAGTAACGGTGTACAGGCGCAGTTCCTGCAGCTAGTTTGGGGGGGGGGGGGGGTGACTTGCCGGCCTTGTTTATTTTTCTGGTGGCCAAGAACTGGCCAGTGGCCAAGCTGTCCAAATACAGGCCAAACGTCGGCCTATCGAAGGTCACGTTTTGGGGCTTCTTCGAGCACATCAGTGGAACAACTCGTCAGCGTCGTCGGAGATGCATTCCCAAGAAAGTGGGGATATATAACCGACAAAAACTTGCTACTGATGAAGGGCAACGGCTACTGAAAACAAAACAATGAACCGCGAAACAAAAGCGGTGGTGTGTTTGGTCGCCAAAGTAACGAGAAAAGCAACTCGCTACATTTTAGGTAAAGTAACTAACGCCTTTTTTTAGAACCGGCAACGAGTAACTTATTCAGTTACTTTTTGAGTGAGTAACCAGTAACGGCATTTTGTTACTTTTTGGGTCAACGTGTACGTGTCTACTTTAAAACGAACTTTTTTATGTATCTTGTACGTCCTTCTGCTCGTTTTTATTGATCTTATGTTTTGCCGACATCCTTTCGGGTGTACAACCCCATAAAGTTCTTGTTTCCGGCGGAAAGCAATGCAATTTATGCTGACTTGGATATGTATAGCTTTCATTTCTTCTGAACACATGCCGCCCCGTTTTTATCTTTATAAATTGTTCGTTCAGGGGCGTAGTTGTCATTGTCAATGACCTGCCTATTTTTATGTTAATATTTTCTAATATTTTACTTCAAAAACCTCATAAGTATTGTATTACATTAACAAATCAGAACAGTACTTTTTTGATGTGTGTATTGAAATGAATAGGGTTGGTCTGGATCACGCCGTTCTTGTGAAGATCATTTTGAAATCATTTGCGGGATGGAGAACGAAGAGAGATGGGAAGTAGAACGGAAACACCGGTGGATAAACGGTTCTCTGATTGCTGATACGATATAAAACGCAATTATCTGGCATGATAACAGTGTTTCAAGCCAGTCCGTACAAATAGGATTTAGAAAAAAGGTGTATCTAACTTTTGCGTAGAAAATAAAAAAAAAAAGATAAATCTCGAATTGTATCTCGTACCGTTACCTTAACACAGTTTTATTTCTGCTGCGAGCTTTATATATTATTAAAAGAAATAGCATTGCTAATTACCTGACCACAGCACAATACAGCATTTGCGATAGTGACGTAATGGAAATCGCGACCGCTTTCGTGAGAAGACGATTCTCTACTATGGTGCCTGGAGCGCGACTTCGACTGGAGTGATTACCGCGTCTAACAATGTCGTCCCTCGATTTCCCCCTGATTATGTCATAGAAGTGTCACGATGCTGCCAGTCGCAATTCTGGTGGTGTCACAGCAGCGGGGGTGGCTCTGGCAGATGCCTGTCCTGCTGCAGGTCGATCTCCAGACTTACAGGCCACGGAAACGTCGGCACACAGTAAATATTTTAACACCCAAAATCGTGTTAAAAGGGTGTTTGTTTTAACCAACACCCTTCATACACCCTTCCTACACCCTTTTTACACGATTTTGAGTATTGGTGGGTGTAACAGGGGTGTACGAGAAGGCTTACACCCTACATACACCCCTATCACACCCACAATTTGAAATATGCTCAGGAAATCGT